GATGATGATGATGGTCTACACTAGAGTTGCATTTAGATTTCCTAGGTTAGTCACGGTGCAGGGAGAGAAAGAGAGAGAGAGAGAGGAGAGTTCCCATTCCCGTGAGAGAGAGGGAGGACTCGGGTAGAGGGGAAAGAGGAGAGAGTTAAGAATTTGCCATGTGGCAGTTTAGGAACAATAGGGAATCTAGATCAAGGGTTAGGATTAAAAGAGAATAAAGGATTAAATTGATAGATTTAAAATATGTTCTATGGGAAAATAGAAATAAACTGAAAATATGGGGGTGGTTGTAACAGAAAGCCCCCAGTACCTGCCCAAGTCCTATGACAATTGTCGGACAATAGCCACCAAGTGACCGAGACCTTGGCGGACATACCATATGTAACACATAATTGCTACCGTGTACAGTTGAAATGCTTCTTCATAGCAGCCTAATGGCTTACGTCGCATTCATCAAACCATCGTCTTGGACACTCTTTGTTAGTCCAATCATATGCTCTTTGCAGAATGCAAGTTATGCAACTAAACTTGCAGGTATGCAAGACAATGGTTTGTTGAATGTGACGAGAACCATTGGTTAACTCAGGGACGTATGTTTTGGATTTCTATTATTTAGTGTGGATTTGGAAGACACGTACAACCGTGTTTTAACGAGCCCAGCTGAGGGGACCAGAACACACTCGTAATGATTGATCCTCCATCTTCAATAACCGGAAAGGAGAGATACTAAAACCTCATGGAGACACTCACTCAGAGAGTGCAAACTAACGAGAAACGCTCCAACAACTTATTTTTCAACTTTCTGTGGCTGCTGAAGTGCTTTCACGTCTATTGTATCTATAGTAGTCTATCAGTTGTACTGGGAATTTGTCAAAGGAACGGGGAGGCTTTTCGAATCAAAGTTCCGTGCCCCTTGAGAAAAAAAAAACCCGAACCTTCCACCATGCCTTTCACGGATGTAAACGATTGAAAAAATGAATCTAAACGAATAAATGATTAAAATTACAAGACCGCATTGAACATAAACAATCATAAGTACCTACGGAAGAAAATAGAAAGACAGTTGAAACGAATCCAAGGGAACCAAACGGGACAATTGAGAAAATGAAGAGAACCCTTGATAGGATCAATGGTAAGAGAGCCTTGGAAGCGAAGGCAGGCGCTGAGATTTCAAAGAGGAGAGATTGTTGAACCTAGGTGGGGACCAAATGAAAGAGGAACCAGATTTAAGGAGCCCCCAACAGCCAGAGGCAGAGGCATTAAGAAACACATAGCACAGGAAAGTTTTTGCCCGAAAATGACAGACAACTTTCATCGCTCTTAACTCGCCGAAAGGCCAAGGCTCACTTAACACGTTGGCTGACATTCCTATCCAAAGTGAGTAAAACCCATATCTAGCAAAATTTGAAACAAGCAGTTCTGTTCCATGTGTTGAGTTGTGTTGTGTGTAAGGATAAGAATATTTCTGCCTTGGTGGAGAGTGATTGCTTTTTATCGAGCATGGATAAAACTTGTTTCCTTCCTACATTGACTTAGGCTTAGCATTGGAATTAGCTGGAGCTGGACGTAGTTGTCCAACTTGATTTGTGTTTTGTTTGGTAAAGCGTGATTAACACATGTGCTTATAAAGAATTGGACCACTCGGATTCTTAATGGGTTTTATGGTTCAAACTACACTCCCCGTCATTCCCTGAATGCTTAGAATATTACATTGTTGTGTCGGGGTTTAGCCCAAGTGGTGAAGAACTGTGGGTATTAGGTTAGGATTGGGATAGGTCAACTGTTCGTTTACTCTAATGTAACCGAAAAACAGAAAAGTCATTGAATTTTTTTATTTGTTTTCAAAATACATCCATAACGTCATATTCGTTCAATAGCAAAGTCATTGGATTAGCCCAAGTAGTGAAAGATGGTGGGTAACATATTAGAATTAAGATAGGCTAAATAATCGATTTTCCCAAATGTAACAGAGAAAAAAATAACTCTATATTTCTTTCTTTTCTTTTTCAAGCAAAAAAAATCCAAAATTTCAGCACATAGGTTTTGCAAATATAGTCAGAAACATTGTTGTGAGCCAGATTCTGAAACGAGATTTTCTTTGAAACCAAACCGAAAACGAGAAATTATTCATTGTTACATCTTACTAGTACAAAAAGCAGTTCAAACAAACGAGAAAAATCATGGCACAAAAGATTGGAGATTAGTGTCATCGGCAAAGATGATCAGTTCATATAATTGGACTACTCCTCATATTTTTGATAGGTTTTATGGTTCAAATTACACTCCATGTCATTCCATGAGTGCTTAGAATATTACATTGTTGTGTTGGGGTTAAGCCGAAGTAGTGAAGGACGGTGGGGAAATAGGTTAGGATTAGGATAAGTCAATTATTTGGTTTACTCGAATATAACCAAAAAAAGAAAAATCACAGGATATTTTTATTTGTTTTCAACATACATCCATGAAGTCATTCATTCGATATCAAAGTCATTGGATTAGTGGCATTAGCCTAAGTAGCGAAAGATGGTGGATAAAATATTAGAATTAAGATAGGTAAAATAATCAATTTCCTCAAATGTAACAAAGAAAAAATAACTCAATATTTCTTTTACTTTCAAGCCAAAAAAACTCAAAATTTCAACACATGCTTTGCCAAATATAGTCAGAAACATTGTTGTGAGCCAGATTCCAAAACAAGAGATTTTCCTTGAAGTCGAAAATGAGAGAAATATCCATTGTTATAGCTTAAAAGTACAAAAAGCAGTTCATTGTATCGTTTGGTATGCAGACGGGACAGGACGGAACGAAGAGGGAGCAAAGATGCCCTCGGATGAAAACAAGGAGGAAGAAGAAGGAGACGGAGATATTATAATTTTGTGTTCCACGGATGTAGAACGAGTCATTCTAGGGGGTGAGGCGGAACAAAAATTTACTCAAAATTTGTCCCGTAGAACAACGCGTTCCACCCGATTTAGGAGCAACAAATGTGAGACGGAACACCTCGTCCCACTCCGTTCCGTCCCGTTCCACGTACCAAAAGGTACCTTAAGTACAGAGAAATGTTATGAGGAACCAATGATACAACAAACCCACTTCTCTTTGTGATCTACAACTAATTCACCTGTAACCGAAATTCATATTATTCGTACCAATAAGATAATCCAACAACTTCACCTCCTGAGTTTGGAGCAGTCTCAACCACTCCATGTGACAACCTCCTCTATATCAAGACCAACACATGTTGCCAACCATCGTACTTCCGCACGAAAACTTCAGCGTTCGATCCTTAATCCAGCAGATACCAAAGTTTCAGGATGTTAAAGCAGACATTTTCGTCTATTTTCACCGTACTGCTGATTGCAAACATGCAGACAGCAATACCACTTGTGGCTGCAGTTGAACCTGCAGCTGTTGGCAGCGAACCAGTTCTGGAAATATACATGCATGACATTCTTGGAGGGAGTAGCCCTACGGCTAGGCCAATCACTGGCTTGCTAGGCAATATATACAGCAGTGAAGTGCCCTTTGCAAAGCCGATAGGGTTCCTTCCTCCAGACGGTGGTGTGGCTATCCCTAATGCCAACGGTGCCATTCCAACTGTGAATGGCGCCAATGGTCTCCCACTAGGAACCGGCTTATCTGGTACATCCTTCGCCGGAAATCCTAATGGTGAAAAGAATGGCAATACAGCTACCCAACTGGCACCAGACGGGTTGGGACTAGGCTTTGGGACAGTCACCGTTATTGATGACATACTGACCTCTAGTCCCCAATTGGGTTCACAGACAATTGGGAAAGCTCAAGGAGTCTATGTGGCAAGCTCTGCGGATGGATCAAGTCAGCTGATGGCATTTACAGCTATGATGGAAGGAGGGGAGTACAATGATAACCTCAACTTCTTCGGAGTGTACAAGATTGGGAGTAGCAAGTCGCAACTGTCAGTGACTGGAGGGACAGGCAAATTCAAGAATGCCAATGGAATTGCAGAGTTGAAACCACTGATTCCTCCAGGTCAACGAGCAACAGATGGTGCAGAAACATTGCTGAGGATTACCGTTCACTTGAAGTACTGAGGATGTCTGGTCTGTTGTCTGGATTTGAATGTGATATATACAGTGTCTGTGATTGTATTAGCTACAGGTGTATGTTGAGTATCTCTAAATTGTAATCTTGTGTTTAACTGTTGTTGTAAAGTATGACAATGCGGCAATGCCTAATGAAAGGGACCTATTTCCAGTGATCTTCCTACCACTGAAGGCAAGGAACAAAATCAAATAGAGAAGGACCTCAAAACTCTAATCTGTGATTCTGAAACAGGACACACATCATCAAAGAAAAAACTGAACCACAAAAAACAAACTGCAGTCTATGGGAAAATATGATGCCGCTATAGCTGGCAACTCCAACAGAATAGAAGAATAAGGAAACCCGCTAAAATTTACAGAAACAGATGCCCAAAATGCTGACCAGAACAAAACTCAATCCCGAAGATCTTCCGCACTAACCCCTTTGTAATCCTCAAAATTCTCTTACTATGCTCCATCCAAATTACCAAAAAGATTGCTAACTCCAGACAACTCTTACTACATTCCCAAAGCCTCGAGCCGAATGCTCAACAACTCAAAACATCCCTTTGGAATGAACCAGCATGCATTGATTTCCTTAAATAGCTCCCAACAGTAATGTAAGGATCAAGGGCGGTGGAGATTCACATGATCCTCAGATTCATCTTACATATCATGCAAGATGTGTTACCATTGATCACGTTCACTAATAAAATGCATGAGAAGTCTAACATATCAATTTAGACCTGTAATTTCTTTCCCTGATCATTAACTTGATTTACTTTTCCTATTCGGGTATTGTTCATGTCTTCACACGCATGAGTTGATTAATTCCTAGGTTAAAGGACAACCTGCAGTCACAACTTAACTCTAAACTAATATTTGGGCATGGAAACATAGTTAGTGTCCTCAATGGTGAATCCGGAGAGATGATGACACAAGCATGAAGATACTCTATGATATAAACATCCGAAAAAAGTTACTCTCCAGTTGATCTTACAAAACAAGAAAACTACTAGCCAGTTCTGTACATCCTACTGGACCGGACTGGACCAGGTTTGCTAGAGTAAATATAAAAAGAATAAATTCTCTGCTCACATATGAGATAGAATACAGAAAAAGTGAAACTTTTAGTGCTGATGGTCGGTAACTAACTAGTGAATAAACAAACTATGGCCTTTCAAGAAGGCCTCACTGCCACAAACAGGCTTAGTCGTCTTATCCTCAAAGAGAATATCCCTGTAGAACCAAATCCTCTATGAAACCAATATAACGGGAGTTGGGAAAGGCATAGCAGCTTACAACTTGTATGGATCACCAATATTTTCTTTTTCTGTCTTTGAAGTTTGAAATTTCAAGCTGTTTCTTTATATCACAAGGAAAGGTTAAAAATACAACGAAAAATGTTCAAAAGCAAAACAAAGCTTGGTTTCAAATACTTTACAAGGAAATGCTTCCAATTACTATAGTATTTTCCAGTAAATGATTCAGAAACTTTATCTACAAAAACAAAGTATCATTTGTTATTTGTCATTCATGTAATTGCTTAATATGTGTGAACTCTAAACAAAAATAGGTCTAATGGTAATCAACATACCACACATACAGCTCCGCATCTTTCATGACAAGCTGCCGATTTTAACATGAGAAAGCACACATACTTCATCGAGCCTGTAGAGTGAATCTATCAAGTGCATCCGCAATGAAGCTGGACCCTTTGCCAGTTTCATTCCCACCTCGCTCGCAATCCCAAATATCGATAATGCAGAAGCTGTAGCTTCCAAAACATGAGATTGATCAACAGCAACAAAGGCAGCAATCAGGGCAGTGACTGAACATCCGGTTGCCGTGATCTTTGTCAACATGGCAACCCCATTACGAGCACCAACAACTCTCTTCCCATCTGTAACAATGTCGACAGCTCCAGAAACCGCAACTAAGGCACCACTGGATTGAGCCAGTGATTTTGCTGATTCAACTGCATCTGTTGATTCATGGGAACTGTCTGCCCCCTAAAAACAACAAATTTGAAATATGGTATTTTCAAAGGTTTAATGTGCAATACAAAATGTCAATGACTATTTTAGCATGCAAAGGGAACACAACAACCTTATCTTTGGCAGCCCATAAAAGCCAAAACTTTGGCTTGACTTCAAATTAAATACCTAATTTTTCGCTAACATAAGCGTAGCCAAGTTCACTACAGTATTATGGACCCAAGTTCGAATATTTTTGACGTAATTTAACTAAGATTAGAATGTTGGTCTAAACAAAAAAAACCTAATTCCCAAGCAAAAATCAAAATAAGTTTTTTAACTTTTTTTTTTTTTTGAACAAACAATATTATCTAGATGGGCTTAATTTCATAATGAACTAGTAATAATGTGATTCAAATTCGTTTTTGGCGAGAATCAAAACTAAACCTCTCTCTTACAAATGAAAATGAATACCATTAATCCGTACTATTAATTAGCTCAACTCATTATTCTTAAACGGTAAAACTTGGTATGGAAAATGAACGTTTGAAATTAAAAATTGAAGATATAAAATAACATTAATCGAACATTTTGTGATCAAGCAGAGAACAATTACCTTGGTAGGTCCCACAGAAGCATTGGCGAGGGCGATAATCTCGGACGCATTTCCCCTAATAACAGTAGGCTTAAGCTCCACAAGCTCCAAACAAGCCTTCAACCGGAAACCTGAGGCGCCGGCGGCAACTGGATCGAGAACCCAAGGCTTGCCGGAGTTGTGCGCCAGTTCAGCGGCGACCTTCATGGCCGGTAACCAGTCGGCGGAGAGCGTGCCCACGTTGACGCAGAGCGCGTGGACCTGAGGCGTGAAGTCGGGGAGTTCTTCTATGGAGTGGAGCATGGCGGGTGATGCACCCGCGGACAAGAGAGTGTTGGCCATCAGATCCATTGACACGAAGTTGGTGATGCACTGGATGAGCGGTGATTTGGCTCGAACTGAAGATAGTAGGGCCCATGCTTTCTGGGCCCACACGATTGCCTCTGGATCTTCTTCTTCTGCCTTGAAGTTGGACTTGCTCTCCATGATTTCTCTTTTGCTTTGCCGCGAGCTGTTCTGGATGTTTGGGGGTTTTTACTAGGAGAAAGTAAATTTTTCTAATTGCATTTTTGGCCCTCTTGTTTGGTGTGATTTTAAAATATGCCAATAGTTTCAATATGTTTCAAATTTCACCCTAGTTTTTTAAATCTTATTAAACAAGAAAATACCAAGTACCAAAGCTAATAAAAATTAGGGAAATTTTGAAAAAGATCCAATTTTATAACCCCATCTTTTGAAATAGGTCCAATTTTTAGTCCAATTAGACCTATATCAAAAGATCCCAAAAAATTATGCTAGTCTATGGTCAAATAGAACCAAACAACAACAACAACAACAAAGCCTTTTCCCACTAAGTGGGGTCGGCTATATGAATCCTAGAACGCCATTGCGCTCGGTTTTGTGTCATGTCCTCCGTTAGATCCAAGTACTCTAAGTCTTTTCTTAGAGTCTCTTCCAAAGTTGTCCTAGGTCTTCCTCTACCCCTTCGGCCCTGAACCTCTATCCCGTAGTCACATCTTCGAACCGGAGCGTCAGTCGGCCTTCTTTGCACATGTTCAAAATCACCGGAGCCGATTTTCTCTCATATTTCCTACAATTTCGGCTACTCCTACTTTACCTCGGATATCCTCATTCCCAATCTTATCCTTTCTCGTGTGCCCACACATCCCACGAAGCATCCTCATCTCCGCTACACCCATTTTGTGTACGTGTTGATGCTTCACCACCCAACATTCTGTGCCATACAACATCGCTGGCCTTATTGCCGTCCTATAAAATTTTCCCTTGAGCTTCAGTGGCCTACGACGGTCACACAACACGCCGGATGCACTACACTTCATCCATCCAGCTCGTATTCTATGGTTGAGATCTCCATCTAATTCTCCGTTCTCTTGCAAGATAGATCCTAGGTAGTAGCGAAAACGGTCGCTTTTTGTGATCTTCGCTAGATTGCTCCGGTCATTAGTGTGGATAAGTATATAAATGGATAGAGATAGGAAAGCAAACACAAGATGTACGTGGTTCACCCAGATTGGCTACGTCCACGGAATAGAAGAGTTCTCATTAATTGTGAAGGGTTTACACAAGTACATAGGTTCAAGCTCTCCTTTAGTGAGTACAAGTGAATGATTTAGTACAAATGACATTAGGAAATATTGTGGGAGAATGATCTCGTAATCACGAAACTTCTAAGTATCGGAGTGTGGTGTCGTCTTGACTTGCCTTATCTGTCTCATAGGTAGATGTGGCATCTTCTCTGGAAGTACTCTTCCTCCATCCAGGGGTGGTATCTTTAACTGGTGGAGATGCACAAGGTAATGTATCAATTTCACTTGAAGCTTACTTGTAGTTTCAGGCTTGGTCAAGCGCGATACAAACCATGTAGTAGGAGTCCCCCAAGTCGCCGAGCTAGGGGGTCTGCTGAAAGAGGTGACAGACAAGGTAAGCAATCAGAGCTCCGACTGATTGTTCACCTTCTCCCCATCTTGCAGCAGCATGAAGGATAAAGAGAAGAAAAATGAGAAGAGATGATATGAGATACTTTTGCTTTTGAAGAAGTAACTTTCCACAGGCTTATTCTTGAACTGAGCTGGAGGGTTTTCTGGTTTCCTCCAGAGTATAAGGCCGACTGAAGAATTTGAGGGTCAAAACAAGTCCATCAAATCTAGAGTACGTTCCACCCTGCTGATATGGGATACTTTTGCTTTTGACAGAGAGTAATGGATGTATCGGCACGTGTGCTGTTACGCTTGTCTCCACATGCTTCCTTGTATCCTTCGCACTTGCCCTATCTGTTCCTCAAGCAGATGCGGAATCTTCCCTGGAAACATAAGATGTTGAAGATGAGTACTCGAGAGCAATGCCAGGTAAGTAATCAGGTAAGGGGTTCCAGGCAGTCAGTTCCTGGCTGGAAGCTTGATTCCAAGTGCTGACTGATTGCTCTCTTTCTCCTTGTCTTGCAGGTAAAAACAAGGCCAAAAAGAAAAGACAGGGAAAAAGCATGATATGGGATACTCTTGCTTTTAACCCTGATGATATGAGATATTCTTGCTCTAGTATAGCTTGTTTGCAGAGGTATTATCGGGGGGAAAGAAAGCTGAATATTTCGAAAGGCTTCGTTGGGAGTGCCCTCTCAGATATGATGAAGGGTTGAGCATTTTTGCAGGTCTGCCTGTCCGTTGGGGATGGAGGTCGACATATATAGGAGTCTCCCTAACAACAAGTAGTAATGCTATTCCTTTACCCTGCTTGGTCATAGCACGGTAGTGGGAGCTGCCAGTTTCACATGTTTTAACTCTGTCAGAGCACTTTGAAAAAGTGGTCTGTGGTATCTGGCTCTCGAGATTCGGAGAACGATGCCTCTTCGATTTTTGAGAAAGCAATCATGCTGGGGGTCTGACTCTCGAGATTCGGAGAGCAGTGTCTCTTCGATTTTTGAGGAAGTAATCATGTTGGGAGTCTGGCTCTCGAGATTCGGAGGGCGGTGCCTCTTCGATTTTGGAGCAAGCAATCTTGTTGGGAGTGTTGTCTCGAATGTGAGTAAAAGGTTGGGCATGTTTGCTAGTCTACCTTGCCACGAAGCACAAAGGTTGACACACAGGGACTTTCCAATTATCCAGCAATGGTACTGTTCCTTTACCCTCTCTTCGATTTTGAGAAAGTAGTCATGTTGGGAGTCTGGCTCTCGAGATTCGGAGGACGGTGCCTCTTCGATTTTGGAGCAAGCAATCTTGTTGGGAGTGTTTTCTCGAATGTGAGTAAAAGGTTGGGCATGTTTGCTAGTCTACCTTGCCACGAAGCACAGAGGTTGACACACAGGGACTTTCCAATTATCCAGCAGTGGTACTGTTCCTTTACCCTTGTGGGTAATAATATGGTAGCTAGACCTTCAAAATTTATGTGTCTAAACTTTTGTTAGTGCTGTTTCTTTGCTATTCTTTTACCTTTCTTGGTCAGAGCGATGTAGTGGGAGCTGCAAGCTTCACGTGCTCAACTTTGGCAGAGAACTTTGGCAAAGTTATCTGTGGTACCCATGAGCTATTGTTGCGTGTGGGAAGTGGGTGATTGAACAGTAAGATTCATGTGCTTTCTACTTCACCAGAAGTCTTCGACAGAATGCCCATAATTTCTGCAAAGCTGAGTGTGCGTGTGACAGGTGCTGACAAGGCTAGAAAAGTAGGTGCCTCTTCGATTTCTGAGATCGGCCCTCGTGGTCTCTGAGCAGCCCAGCTTTTGAGAAAGCGAGCGCCTCTTCGATTGATTCGGAGAACGATGCCTCATCGATTTTTGAGAAAGCAATCATGCTGGGGGTCTGGCTCTCGAGATTCGGGGAGCAGTGTCTCTTCGATTTTTGAGAAAGTAATCATGTTGTTGGGAGTCTGGCTCTCGAGATTCGGAGGGCGGTGCCTCTTCGATTTTGGAGCAAGCAATCTTGTTGGGAGTGTTTTCTCGAATGTGAGTAAAAGGTTGGGCATGTTTGCTAGTCTACCTTGCCACGAAGCACAGAGGTTGACACACAGGGACTTTCCAATTATCCAGCAATGGTACTGTTCCTTTACCCTCTCTTCGATTTTTAAGAAAGTAGTCATGTTGGGAGTCTGGCTCTCGAGATTCGGAGGACGGTGCCTCTTCGATTTTGGAGCAAGCAATCTTATTGGGAGTGTTTTCTCGAATGTGAGTAAAGGTTGGGCATGTTTGCTAGTCTACCTTGCCACGAAGCACAGAGGTTGACACACAGGGACTTTCCAATTATCCAGCAGTGGTACTGTTCCTTTACCCTTGTGGGTAATAATATGGTAGCTAGACCTTCAAAATTTATGGGTCTAAACTTTGTTAGTGCTGTTTCTTTGCTATTCTTTTACCCTTCTTGGTCAGAGCGATGTAGTGGGAGCTGCAAGCTTCACGTGCTCAACTTTGGCAGAGAACTTTGGCAAAGTTATCTGTGGTACCCATGAGCTATTGTTGCGTGTGGGAAGTGGGTGATTGAACAGTAAGATTCATGTGTTTTCTACTTCCCCAGAAGTCTTTGACAGAATGCCCATAATTTCCGCAAAGCTGAGTGTGCGTGTGACAGGTGCTGACAAGGCTGGAAAAGGCTGGAAAAGTAGGTGCCTCTTCGATTTCTGAGATCGGCCCTCGTGGTCTCTGGGGAGCCCAGCTTTTGAGAAAGCGAGCGCCTCTTCGATTTCTGAGATCGGCCTTCGTGGTCTTTGAGCAGCCCAACTTTTGAGAAAGCAAACGCCTCTTCGATTTCTGAGATCAACCCTCGTGATCTCTAAGCAGCCCAGCTTTTGAGAAAGCAAACGCCTCTTCGATTTCTGAGCAGGCGCCTCTTCGATTTCTGAAGCTCCGTCGAGTGCAGATTTTTTTATAGGGGCTGGCATTAAGTTCCAAAGCACACTTGAATCTCCACCAGTAGAAGCTTCATTCTTGCACTTCTAAGATCTTGATTTGTCCGACCTCTTCTCTCTTCAACACCTTTGAAAATGTCTGGCCCCTCCGACCGTCGTTTTGACTTGAACCTTGTTGAAGAGGCAGCCCCGCCTTCTCCAGACAACATATGGCGCCCATCCTTCGTCTCCCCTACTGGTCCTCTTACCGTTGGGGATTCCGTGATGAAGAATGATATGACCGCTGCGGTGGTGGCCAGGAACCTTCTCACTCCCAAAGATAACAGACTACTTTCCAAACGGTCTGATGAGTTAGCTGTTAAGGATTCGCTGGCTCTCAGTGTTCAGTGTGCAGGTTCTGTGTCTAATATGGCCCAACGCCTATTTGCTCGAACCCGCCAAGTTGAATCATTGGCGGCTGAAGTGATGAGTCTCAAACAGGAGATTAGAGGGCTCAAGCATGAGAATAAACAGTTGCACCGGCTCGCACATGACTATGCTACAAACATGAAGAGGAAGCTTGACCAGATGAAGGAAACTGATGGTCAGGTTTTACTTGATCATCAGAGATTTGTGGGTTTGTTCCAAAGGCATTTATTGCCTTCGTCTTCTGGGGCTGTACCGCGTAATGAAGC